CCATAACATTTGAATAAATACACACACACACACACACAAATATATAAATATATATATATAATATACTTCTATACTAATATTAAAAATCTGAACACTTTGTTTGGTTTAACACTCTAATCTCAGGAACTACTGGTTTTAATTCAAAAATTATTTTTATGTTGGATAACTCATGTAAAGAGGAAGACTAAAGGCTATATAATATTTTAGAAAAGTCCACAGGTTAAGTCGAAATTTGAGAAATGATAAGAAATTTATGATTTCGCTATTAATAAAACCGTAAAATTACTGCCGCGTTAGTTATTGCCTACTGAAATTCTTATGATGCACTGACACTTCGGTAGGGGAAGTATTGAGAAACCTGTTCCACCATAGCCATCGGATCAAACAAAAAAAAAAAAGTGTTATTTCAACAAAATTATAGTACAGATTCTCGAGTTTGATCCACGATCTTGGTGACCCAATGATTTTGTACTGTTTTTACATTTTTTCGTCTTTTTTTTACTTATTATTTTTTTAATTATTTTAGTAGGCCTAGAATTGGTCGTATCTCTGGGAAGGCTTTAATGTATAATACGTTATAATAATTCACCGGGTGAGCTTTAAATATTGTAATAATATGCGATCCGTTAAAAACTATGCCCAGGTCAAGAATTTTCCGTGCGAAATTAATTTTACGCCTGTGGGTTTCCAGCTACCTGCTACCCATCCTTTTTTCCGTCAATTATATATTTGAAACCATCGTGTAGAAATTAACTATTCCGAGATGTTTATCAATAAAAATGAACTCACTCATCACGCTATGTATGAAAGGTATTCCTGTTTATTCGAGTTTTAAAATAACTCGGTAACAAAAAAATATTTAAAAAAAATATGATAATAACACATTCATTTTTTATAAACATACTTTTATTATTATTTTTATAATCGTTGTCTTACCGTGATACGTTTGGTGTAGACGTCATCCTCATACTTTGTTAGCCATTTGACCCCTACGAGCTATGAAATAAATTTCGTAATGATTTGTGTGAAGATATATGAAATATAATTCGTAATGGCAATAAGGATATAACATTAGAATATAATGATAAAATATACAATGAAGGACTTGTAATGATAAGATTCATAAGATTAGTGATAATTTATCACTGATAAATATTTAACTGATTTTGGACTTCCAGCATCTAATATAAATAATTCAAATGATGATATGAATCCGTTGGAAAAAGATTTAGGAAAACCGAATGATTTAAATAAATGAAGTGGATATATTTCTGAAAATGAAACTAAATTAGTGAATGACCAGCTTATGGCGTACAATTATTTTGAACAGTATTTGTTTTAACGAAGGGAAGATATTTCATTTGGAAGCCCCAGGTGGAACCGGCAAGACTTTCGTTACTTATTTGATATTATCAAAAGTTGGGTCTTAGGGAAAACAAGCTTTGGCTGCTACGTCGTTGGGTATCATTGCGACTCTACGAACAAGTGGACGTACCTAACTTAACTTTTAAACTACTTCTTACTCTGTTTCTTTGCAAAAAGATAGCGTTTGCGCTATCCGTGAAAATGGACCATTGAGAAAAAATGTTACAAGATATTACATGGGATAAATGCACCATGATTCAAAAACCATACATATATTAGAATGTCTAACAAAATCATGGGTGGAATCACTGTCATGTTTGCAGGTGATTTTCGAAAAAACGTTACTGGTAATAGGTAGGGAAACTAGAGCTGACATTGTGAAGACATGCTTAAAAACTTCCCCGTTATATATGTTCTTAAAACTATCTACTAATATGAGAGCACATCTTTTTAGAAGTAGTATAATTTTTCTTCAAAGTTACTTTTAATAAGAAAATACCACATTTTGAAAACCAAATTGAAATTTATCACGATTTATGTGAATAATTTACCATCATTGAAGACCTAATCTTCAAAGTCTATTTAGATGTAACCAAGTAAAAAATAAAGAATATCAGTGAATGTGTCGAAGGGCAATATTAAAAGTTAGAAATAGTAGTGTAGACAAAATTAATGATATAATACTAAGAAAATAGCCAGGAGATAGCGTAAACTACATTTCCACTGATAATGTAATGGATCAAGGAGATGCGGTACATTACCCACAAGAATTTCTCAATTCTCTAAATCCGAGAGGCCTTAAGAAACTTTAAGCCATCAAATTTATGTAACGGAACAAGACTCCAGTTAAATTTCTTCGTAACAATGTGATCGTTACTATAGTTTTGACTGGACCAAAAGTTGGTCAACTATTAATCCCATCCCAATGATTCCCAATGATTTGCCTTTTAATTTTGGAAGAATATAATTTCCTGTCAAGGTATCATTTGTAACATTGTCCTTTGTATCACCGATGCAATTAATAAAGCACAGGGATAATACCTACATAATATTATTACATATCCACATTTTATTAGATCCCATTACTTTACTAATATAGGTAAAACAAAAAACCTGGCACGGACAATGCTGTACAGGACATTTTTTTTATATTTATTTATTACATATATATAATTATTTAACTCTCTTATTTTTGTTTCGCTGTCATCCAACAGTGACGGGTAATTCAGATAGTATATATATATATAAACTTGTATTTTCTTATTTATTAATATCATAATTTTCTTTAAGTCTATTTTAATCTTTCCTCGTTCGAGACCTTTTTCATAATAGCAATAGGGATTTACGCAAAATATAAAATAACTTCATCTTATTGGACTAGTATAATGACGATTAAATTAGCAAAATATAAAATCGTATAGTTCCCTATGCAGTAATACTCTATTCAATGATATTCGTTGTATTTCATTTTTCTGTATTTACTACACTGTATTTAGTGTATGTCTTCGGGCGTTTATTAAATTTATTATTTTTGTTATACACTACCAAATCATTTTATATTCAAGCGTGTATAAATGCAAATCGTTCATTATCTAACTAAATATGTATATTAATCATGGCCTTTTTAAGGGGGGGGGAGTCAAAAGGGGTAATTGCCCCGAGCGCCTTAGTTTTGTTAAAGTTCGGGGAGCCCTTATCTGCACTTACTATACTACCTGTACCCAGTGGTCCAAGGAAAAAATTTTGCCCCGGGGCGCTGAAATATTTGACATGGCTCTAATATTAATATAATCTTTGAATTACGTTACTGCATTGCATATAGTTTCATAATACAACAAAACGCATCCGAGACAACACATTTTGTGCTCAAAGAAAAGCTAAATAAATGTTACTACGGCAGGTGACTTGAATATAAATTTACGATACATAAAATTACAATATCATAATATGTTAATTGGTATTTTCTCAATAAAATGAATAATAAATTATTATGATTTGTGAACTATAAGGGTTCACTTTTACAATTTTTGCAATATTTTACATATTTATTAACTAGGTAACTTTTAATATTTTCACAACCCGTTCGTTCTAACTTTTATTTTTATTCTTTTTCATTATATTTTCTTTACTTATAAAATGCATAGTAAAGATTTTGAAGAAAAAATATTAGTTTATTTATGAATTTTCATATAATTATAAATCCTGACGGTTACCATTATGTTTCAAAGTTATCGAATCAAACACAGTCGATCTAGAATATTAGCATGATCAAATGCTTAAACGTCAATTTATTAAGCGATAAGCCCAAATGTTGACAAACTACAGAGTACTAAATAACCTATAGCATTATTTCCGTTGTTTATGTGTACGGTTTGCAGAACAAGTTGGATGCAAGTTCCGTGAACAATATCTAAGTCGAAAAATAAAATGTACCTACAACTCATAATATAACACATACGGTACACGACATTCAACGGGTTATGATTTCGTGTACCAGTAAAAATACTAAGGTTAAATGGTAGATAGATAGTTCACCATGCGATCTCCCAAGGGTCGTTTTTTTAAGAGAATTACTTGTGGTTTCGCATTAACAGACCTTACACGTCGGTTCAATTGTATCTATACGAACACGTACACGGCCTTATATTTTTCACAAGCATTTACTTAATATACCGACAACGACGTACACGTTAATAACACTTGATAACTCATTATACGAGTTTAGATTATAATAAAACAATATAAGAAAAATAATTGCGTGTGTATTTAAAAGGAGGAAATTGAATTTTTAATTTTTTTTAAATGAATTCAAATTATTAAAAACTGTATTGATATATTATATAAACCTGGATTTAATCGTTGGTGATCCTTGCTATGTAGAAAATAAACATTTAAAATCTAGCCTGATATGCCGTGGTATATATCTAAATAAATATTCAAACTGTAAATATATATATTACATTGTAAACGAATCACCAGAGCTGGAGTTGAAGAGGTAGATGGAGAGGAGGAGGGGGCTAAAATTGAAACACAAGGTTCAATAACGGGTTAGTTGGTCTGAATCCTTATTGTCTTAAGAATCTATTTACTGTAAATAAATGATGTTTCAGCAAATATTAGTTTATATTTTATGCCATGTTTATAGAAAACATCATCACTTTATCAAAACCATTAGTGAGAAGTTAATTTAAGCATCATTTTACTGAATTATTTAGATTAGTAGGGTACAGAAGTTATATGAGGTACAACTGGAATAACGTGTACACAAAAAAATCGAAAATTGAAATTCATAGAATACGCAATAAAAACGCATATTTAATATTGATGATTCGTAGAAAAAAATTAATTTCATTCATTATTTAATCGTGATTAACAATGATTAACTTCAACTTTGTTAATATTCAAAAATATACAAACGTAATATTGGTAATATTGGTAATATTTGTATATACCGGTAATATACAAACGTATAGTTGATTAATCACCCATGCATAAATAATGCACAGGGTTCCCGAAGGAAATAGGATAAGCTATGACGTCCCGAATAGGACGTGTGCCGTGAAGGCGAATGTCCTTATCAGATTTATCGGTACAACAGCAACAACAACAACAACAACAATGTAAAACGTGCTTACCGTAAAATCCCGGTATGGCTCCGAGCGGCATGACGAACAGGCACACGAGCAGATCGGCAATGGCCAGCGACAGTAGGAAGTAGTTAGTGACGTTCTGCAGCTGCCTGTCCAGACATATGGCCAAGCACACGAGTATGTTTCCCACGCCGCCGGCGGCGATGAACACGAACACGAACAAATACTTCCAGTTGTACCCATGTTGCTGCTGCTGATGGCCGTCATACGCGTCCACCGCCGACGGCCGCGACGGCTCGCCGCGCACCGAACACGTCACCTGGTTGCCGTCGCCGGGCACGTCGCGGCCGTCGCACCGGACGACGGTGACGGGCTTACCGCGGGCCGTCTCGGGCAGGCCCACGGACACGGCCGGTTGCCCGTCGAAATGCGCCGACAGCCCGGCCGGCAGGTACAGGCGGACGACGGTGTCCGCGACCCCGGACGACGCGTCGGCGCACGCGAGCGCCGCGTCCGGCCGCGCGCCCGCCGCCCGCCGACAGTCCAGCGTCCACGTGCCGCCGCAGTCGAGCCGGTCGACCCGGGCCTCGGTCACCAGCAGCTTGTTCACGTTCGTCGTCGCGGTCATCACCATCTCGGTGGCGGCCACCGTCGCCGCCGCGGCCGCGGCCGTCGTCGTCGAACCGTTGTTGTAGTAGTGCCCGTTGTCCTGATACACCGAGTACACCAGGCGGCAGATGACCTGCGCCAACCACACCTTGCCAGCTCCGTCATCGTGACCGTTGCCCATTACATTTTCTGCGGTTCAACGCACGTGACTCGACCTGGAACAGCAAAACACCCAAACGGTTTATACCATCCGCTTCTGCCCCGGCTATATGTTTCTGCGCGGCGCCGACAACGATACCGGACGGTTCCGGAACGGAGATGACGAGAACCGTTGTTCCGTGTTCGGGCCGGTGCAGCGCGTAACCTACTCGCGCGCCCGGTGGGAGACGGACGCCACGTGTCGTCGACGCACACCGAGAGGTAAACGATAACAACTGCCGGGCGGATGATAAACGTAAATGTATGCGATATGTTCTCGTTTGCGACACGCGCGTACCGTAAAAATGCAAACGATGATGGAAGAACCGCTGGCCCGGAGTGCCGGGAGCGCACCGCACCGGAGAACCGTCTAAACGGTCCGGCCGGCAGGCGAGTCGGAGAGCGTAAGCGGACGCGGCACGTCTGTGTACGATCAACTGCACCACTGTCACGTAAAGACGTGACCGACTGACGGCGGCGAAAGGAGGTGGAGAAGTAATCGTGCGGAAGACAACAGATTTATTGTGGTTGTTATTTCGCTCCTTTTTTTTTTTTTTTTTGCGAGTGTGTGCATCTGCGGATTTTGGCGTACCGTGCGCGCGATCCGCCATTGTTTTCGCTTCTCACTAGCCCGTTTAAACGATATAAAATAAAATTATTGTGTTAACCGCGGGCGATTTAGACAAGAAAAAAAAAATCAATCAACATATGAAAAAAAACTCTCCGACGATCGAATCAAATGTATACATACATAGATAACACAATATGACTACATCGTAACCGCGTTCTTTTGAAAAGCATAGAAAATCCATTAAAACGCTATCAGAAATCAAAAAATATAACCGTAAATAGTGTTCGTTGTATTTTTGCAAAAGTATGATAAGGTTCAAGATATTTTCTATTGACTATACTCAGTTAATATTTATATGTTGTTTTATATTTAATCTCATCGCGTGTGTCGTGTTGATAAAAAATACTTTTCTAAAGAAGACAACCATTGCTGTTTCGTTAATTTTTTCCGTTATGGTTTTATTTCACGTGCATAAATATAATCCCCGTTACTAAACGCGGCATTTATTGTTGCGGCATAGCTATAAACCACAAGGGTTCCATCAATGTATTCATTTTTTATTATGAATATTACGCCTGTATAACTGTACGTATTATAAATAGTATTCAATCCATGAAATTCAATCAACCGATGACTATTATATTTGTACAGACCAATAAAAATATTTATTTTATAATACATATGTGTTATTACATCATACTAGTGCACAAACAAAAAAAAAAAAAGAGTCTAAACAAGATAAATACTGTATAGATTAAAGATTTAAAAAAAATAATTAGTTCAAAAATGCATTACTGCTTATTCGCAAGATCAAATCTATGCAAATAGCTTAAAAAGTACCGAAAAGTACTAAATATATTCCGCGCATCAGATGTAAACACTTTTATCAACTATTCTCATCTATTATCGATTTTTTCATTTTAAAAATTAATCATCGGGATTTTTGGGTAGACTTACTTAAATTTCTTACATTTATATTCATATTCAGAGATGTAATTTCAATTTATTTCGATATCTAGAACCAAATAGTACAATCATATAGTACACACCTATAATATTCCAACGCCAATTTTCTTTCGGTTGAGATATACAAAAATCATACAACCATTTGTTATTTAACAACCTTCATTAAATTAATTTAATAATTAGAATAATTTATATTAGGTTCAGTAATAAATTATTATTTTTTTTTTCCGGCTTTACCATCCATCGAGGATCTTTACCGCCAAAATTACCTCCTCCCATTTCTCTTTATCATACGCTATTACTTACCAATCCACCCCACCATGGGCTGCCGTATTCCATATCTCATTTATACCGTCTATCCATCTTCTTATTTATTATTTTATTTATAATGTATTTTTATTATCATTAATATTAACAGCACAGTTTACAAATCGTAAACAATATTCTTTAAATGTACCACATGATATCTCATCCATACGAGAATGGATTACCACTAAATACAATTCATATTTATATCAACTTTCTTAGATTCTAATATTGATAGCCAGATAACATGATGGCCACAAACAGTAATACTGTAATATTAGTATTATATGTGCACATATAGGTTATTGAATGTTAAAATATTGAGTTTATATTGACCTTACTTGCGTTGACATTAAATTGTAAAGAGCTTTTATTGTAATAATATAATTTGACCGGTAAGAAAAACAGGGTTAATAAATGTGACACATGTCCAACGACAGCTCAAAAAACGGTAACTGTTATCATTCGTAAACCGATTGACTATATAATAATATTCGTGAACAACACTATAACCATAGCATGGTAGTGTATAAGAAGAGTACATAAAATATTATGTTGACGGTACTTTTCAACAAGTGCCTGAAAATATTTATTATCGATTACAACAATGGCAATCAAATCGAATATTGAAAATAATTGATTTGTCATATAATACAGTTTAATTGATGGGTTTAAAAAAACCAAGTGGAATATTACCGACATTTTTGATAAATTTACATATTTTACTTGTATATGTATATGTATAAAAAAAATTAAAATAACAAAATACTAAATAAAACGGGAACTCTTGAGTTGGGTCCCGAATTATTTTATTACTTAAAAAAAACCACGAGTTGGGTCCGCGGTGTTAATTAATAATACTCAAATTGGGTCCATGGTCACATTTGATAATACATGAATTGGGTCCACGGTTGTGTCCATGATTTTATCTGGTTGTTATCTTAATTACCCAACTCATGTTTTCCCAATGAAAGATGTGTGTCTTAAATTTCTTCCGTAATTTAATCTATATAATTATAAATAAACTATTATTGATAAAAGTAAAAATAAATTAAAATTTTATCTAAAATCAAGCCAACTCAATAATTTTTCACACAAAAAAAATTCTAATTGACTAGTAATTTTAATATTTTAATAATGTTTACATCAGACCGTTACCATTGTATAACATAAACCAAATGTTTTTGAAGACTTTCTAACTAACCTCCATATGGTGTCTTCTGGGTATCGCTAATAAGCTGGACCTAACTTATGTAGTCGATAAAATATAAAGGGACTCAACTCATGTACTCGATAAAATATATGAGGGCCCAACTCATGTACTCAATAAAATACGTTCTGATCCAATTCATACTATTTTTTAAATTTAGGACCCAACTCGAAATTATCCGATAAAACCTTAGTTGAATAATTTTTACATTTTAAACCATAACTTTACTTTATATTTTTTTATATTGTTTGCTTTAATTAAATAAAATACTGCATAAATATTTATAAATTTGTGTGTATGTGTATACAAAATATTCTCTTATAAAAAAATTATAAAACGATAACAATAAGAATTTATTCATAAGATTCCCAAGGGCTTTAAGTGATATTCAGCAATATCCAAAAAAAATCTTTTAAAAATAATCGAAATTTTATAATTTATCAGTAATATTATATCAATAATGTTATTGTTCGAAATCTTTTAGTAAACCACTATAGTGAGAACCTTCAAGTCAAGAGAATTTTTTAGTTTCTTTCGTCGTATCGATGTACAATTATTTATACTCTATATAAATGATAAAATAATGGTTATTTTCTCGTTTGATCGTAAGTTAAAAAGTATTTTGAATGATTTACAGCACTGGTGTATGTTTCTTACATTTTACAAACATTTTTATTAATAATAAAATACAAAAGTATAGGGTTTTACCAAATACTGTTTTAAATAAATAAGACAATTTTAAATTATAAAATGTGTAAATTATTTTGATATTAAAATTTTAAATATAAAATCATATACCCTATATTATACATTTAATTGTATTTGGTAGAAGTTATATTCACTTTTTGTTTATTAAAAAAATGTTATACTAATAAACATGATTCAACAAAATGAAGCCACAAAAACTGTCAAAAAATTATTTGGGTAAGATTTGGTTCAGATTTGGTAAAGAAATTACACTATTATACTTTTATCTTAAACGAAAATATTGCGCGTGACTAAAATTTAAAATCATTTCAATCTCGTTTGTTATAGATTTAACAAGTTTTCAACAAATTATAGTAAAAGTAACTGTATTTTAAAGTCGAATAATGAATCAAAAATACTAAGTAAATATTAAAACGGTAGCATTTTAATTATTTTTTTTTATATATATACAATAAATGAATATGTAAATTATAAAGAATTTTTTTATTCAAATACATAATGTGTATATACATTAAATCATTGATAAATGTTGAATGTAATGATTTATTGATAATGAATTATTGATTGGCCAATCAAGGAGGTTAAAATCATAATCATTATTTTTCATTATTTATTATTAATATTATATTTATTATTTATTATATTTATTATTTATCATTATTTAAAAAAAAAAAAAAATAATTGGAATAGATGTTTTAGTTGTGTAAAATTAATAATAATTAATGACAAAATTATTTAAATTGCTTGTATATTTAATGCAGCAATTACTATCTCATTATAATTATTTAGCACTGAAAATATATCATATTATATATTTATTTTTTTCTACACAAATACTTAGAAAATACTAAAAAAATTATTAACTATAATTTAATAGAAAATTATGATTTATTACATATTATAACACCTACAGTTAACTTTCAATTAATTGTTCATTATTTTTCAACTCTTATGATCTTTATGCATTTTGTAGAATTACATTTTTTTTTTTTTTATAAGTGATAAATAATTAAAATTGGATATTAGAATTGGAATTCGTAATTTATTTCCAAATATTACTCGACTATAACTGCGTTTAACATTTATTAATTATAATAGGTTATTAAATTGAATTAAAATTAATTATTAATGTTTTAAAGATGAGATACCAAACCGTTTTAATATTTATATACTTTTATTGGTAGTCCCAATTCTTAAAATTGACTGATAATTCATGTCACTACCATAATTTTTAACGACAAGTCAAATATTTTAAT